GCTGACCCCGAATGACTCAACGAAAAGTTCCCCAGTCCCAGTGTGCTCAAACCCGGAAGCCGGGGGCAGAGCAGCCACTGGTCCGTAATTCAGTACACTGTATCAAATTAATTAAGACTAGAAATCATCCTCCAAAAAGCCTCCAGTGTCATTTAATTAAGTCAAGAGAAGTCAGGTGTTCTTCTGAATGAGCTGGTTAGACTGTGATTCAGGAAAAAACTCAGGTCTCTGGATTCCGAGTTGAGCAGGTAAAATCTTCTCTGCCACACTGCACTTGAACCCAGCGCATCACGTGGTACGTAAGACACAGGAAAGAGGACACCAGGTCACTTCGCAGACTTGAAAACCGGAGTTTTGGAAGGCATGTTAAAATGCCGGGTGCGCGCAGAGCCGCGCCGGGCTTCCTCTGCAGGGATCGCACACAGAACACACTGCACGGGGCATTACAGAGGCACTAGTAAAACGCAGGGCATCCCCGGAGCAGGGGAGCAGACTGGTTCAGATCCCAGAACGCCGAGTGCTTGGAGCCCTGTGGTTTCTCCAGAAGAACGCTTCTGGGACTGAACCGCGGCCACAAATCTGAAGGGAAGTGTAGGCAATAAAGGGACGCGTACTTTCTGGCCGTTGGAACTCCTTCAATAGAACGAACCGCTACGCTGTAGTCTAGGGCAAGGTCAAAACTGAGGCTGGAGGACAATCTCTCAAGAACACGAGAGATGAGGCACGAGAACTCACATAGACCGCTTCACAGTCTGCGCCACTCAGAGACGTCCGAATTTCTCTTCTGCCACGGAAACCATTCCTTTCAGCAACTGTCCTCCAGGGGAGGCCCCACATAATCCAAGTCACTGCGCTACCCTTGGTCATCTTCCCTTGGAAACCTCCCGGTATCGGTGCTGAATGAATTAGGGGTGTTCCTGTAAGATCCAACTGCACGCAATCTAAACTTCCAAAAAATCCTAGGTGTGAAAAAGAAAAGAGTTCAGGTTCTAGTTCGGTCCCTCAACTCTGTGACCTTGGACGGATCCTACTTTCCCAGGATCTGCGATGAAGCCCGATGTGGGGCACTCCTCCCACTGCCCCAGCAGTTCTGGTTTCAACACCACCTCCGTTGCTGGTGTGGGGAGTCCACGGTGGCTGAGTGGCTCTGTGGCATTGCAGGGGCAAGAGCCATGGGTGTCAATGTCTCCCAGTGTCGTAATACTTCTCACCACCCAGCTCCATTTGAAAAATGTTGGTGAGAGGAATTACAAGTTCTTTCCAGAGCCTAATTTTGTGAGATTTATCTGTTAAAAATTTGTCATTAGCCACGGCTCTTCTTACCTAAAACACAATGAACTACCGTTTCCTGTCTATCCTAAGTAGTTAGTAATACAGTCCACAACCAAATACTTACAATTTAGGATCAGGAGGAAGGATTTAAAACAGGATAAGAAAAGAATACCTATTTTTTGAATGTATGATTATCAAGAGACTCATGTCAATAAAATTCCAACGATTAGATGCTGACGCTCCGTCCAACACTCCACCAGTAGAGCTCACGGCCTTCAGCGTGCTTTCCCAGCTCTACCAGAACAGACTTAGGCACTAAGTTGGTCACTGGGTACATTTTCATCAAGAGTAAAACATCACTTCACTTAGAACAGTTATCAAGAATATTTGGTGTTAGAAGGAAAAGGTTAACAAATACCTGAAAAGTAAAATTTATAAAGACCTTTAGGCTCTGAGTAAGATCAAAGAAGTGAACAACTTCTGGTTTGGGGACTTAATACATTATGTATTTTTTGTTCTTTTAATCTTACGTATTATTATTTTAGGAATCTTCTCTGTCACGCACACACACATCAGGTCTAGGGCAATGCTGGGCTTTAATTCCATCTCCACACACAGAGCTTCTATGCACACAGCCCTAGCGATTAAAGGACATTGTGTTTTTGCCACACTAGATGGTCCGCTACATTCTCTAAGACTCAAAAGATGTATTTTTTAGCCCAAATCTCTGGTCCCAATATTTCATGTACACCAAACATGATTTTCCGTTTATTTTCTCAGTGGCACCAGCACTGATCTCCAGAAACAACCGCTAAGCACTGTTTGTATGTCCTTCCCCAGGGACAGTGAGGACAGTAAGAGCACATAAATGAGGAATTCAATCATGATTAGCGTTTTGGAGATTCTTCGTTCTGAAGAACAGAAATATTTTTTGGGGTGTTTTCATTAGGGCTTTTACCAGATATTATTCCTAGGACTACTACATAAAACGGTATTTCTACAACATACAAGGAAACATTTAAAACTTCAGACTCTTTATATTTATGATATAAAGTCTGCAGGAAAAAATGGTTGTTCATATGAATTCAATGGCCTACATAACACTCAAGCACCGATTTTCGTTAATCCAGGATCAAAACACCCCTAAAAGGATTCTTTAAAAACAAACAAATGCCCTCCTTTCTCAAAGCCAATGAATACCGAGGAGCCCTTACTGCCAATGGATGTCACACTTCATGATTTCATACAAATTACTAAAGGACTCTCTAAAAATTATTTAAGTGTCAAAAATATATAGTTTTTAAAATGCTAAAGAAGAAAATCAGATAAAAGAAAACCAACCCGCAACAAATTACTCTTTAATTTCCTGAAATTATATGGCTAATTTACCAGCTTTCTGCAGGATATGAAGGATGGATAAATTATTCTAAATATATATAATTAACCTAAAGCCTCTGATAAGGAAATGGGAGAGGCTGCCTGGAGGAGGAAAATGAAAACATCAAGCTTACACAGAGCTCTATCTTCCATTTCAAAATGTCAAAAGACGTCCATCAATGTGACCTAAGCTAAACATGGGTAAACACTTTTATACAAATTTGGGAAATACAGGGGAGCAAAGCTCACCACCATGAAAATAATCTACCGTTCGTTTGTGTCTGCACGGTTCAGAGGGTCCTACAAAGGACAGTTTAGTTTTTTGGCAGAGATCAAACACAATCCACTACAGGATTCGGGACGTCAAGGAAAGCTCCCTCAAACGCAGCGGCGAGCAGCTCGTCTCTATGTGCTGTCACTCCAGACAGAAGCCCACGTGCTCCCCTTCCCTGCTCCCGCCCAGGCGCACTTGAGCTCTCGGAATGAAAAGGTCTGGGAGAGATTAAACGTCGGGCCACAAACTAAAAAGCTCTGGCCTGTTCAGGCCTGTTTGGAACACACACACAGTGGGCCCAAAACGGGAGACGAAAGGCAGTAAGAGAATTGTATGGAACTTTGTTTTGGCGTACCTAATTGTAATGTTTGCACGTATGTATGTGCTCCAGGCAGGGTGGGAGAATTCTTCTAGGACTTTCTCTCATTCGAAACAAAAGACCACACTGGGTGATATGAAGAATGGGTCTACTAAGGACCACAGCCGAGCTGTTTCACTTCACTTTCTAACCTGAAAGTACTTACACAAGAAACAAAACAACTCTGTTCTAATTCCTGACTTCTGCAGTAAGCTAAGAGTTAATCATCATCTTTCATAACCTCATGTAGGGGGAAAAAAAAACCCACAGACCATTTTAAAAAATTTCCAAAATGTGGACAAGCTGATCCATTTCATTAACGATGATTCAAGGAAACACGGTGTTTGTCGTTCCAGTCTGTACAAACGGCAGCACGGATTAAATCCTGTACCTTACTTCATTTCCTATTCCAACCACGAGGGCTTATTCAAGTATTAAATAAAACCCAAAGCTGCAAATTATTAACACACCACGTTACTTTTTAACACCCAAACAGATCTGGAAGCTCCCAAGGCTAGCGCTGAAGCCACACGGGACATCTGTCCAGATGATGGTCTCCGGCCTGACCCCCCCCCACTCCCCTTGCACAGAGGGTCCCGTCCATCCAGGGCAGCTCGGGCAGCTCGGGCCAAGCCACAGGCCGCGGCCGACAGAGCCGACATAAACGCGGCACAACTGTCCACGGCGCTTCTGACAGGGACGCTATTTCACCCAGCTGCGGGCAGGCAGGGTTCTCCTTCCTCTTCTGTGTTTGGAAGGCATCCGCAGAGTTAAATCCTCGTTCCCGTCAGGGCCCCGCAGCGGCTGTGACAGCCTCCCCCGCCCGTCTGACCCACTCAGTGACGTGCACACTGTTTTCATTTAGCTGCCTCCAGCCAAAGACGAAAACTTCAAAACCACAACGCTTTGCTCCTTTTTACACTCATTTTTCCACGGCTCTGGAAGAATATCTCAGAAACCCAACTGAAGAAACTAAGAGTGAAAAAATGTGGATAAAAAGGCACACGGAGCTTGTGTACGATGATCAAAACGTGTACTTTTGTGGAGAGTATTCGCTTGTGCAAATGCTGAGTTAGTCATGTAATTTGGAGGGGAAAGTGCTTTGCTTTTGCTTTTTGTTTCCTAAAAAAAAAAAAAACAAAAAACTAAGGACCTTTCCTTTAAAAAAACAAACAAACAAAAAAGGCAAGCCAGAGTGAGGAGAGAAGGGAGAGATGTGACACCCCCTTCCCAGCGGAGGCAGCAAACACAGCAGCGCCCAGCTCGGGACGGGCTCAGGGCTGACCGTCCTCTCAAGTCGAGCAAAAGCACACACAGGGGCATGGACCAAAGCTGGTGCCCCAGGTTTCCCAGCAGCTGACAGCCTGATGATCAGTGCAGCGAGAAAGACCACTTAAAGCAAGATCACAACGTCTTCCTAAAATGTGAAAGGAACAGCGACTCTGGTCAGTACGCCGCCACAACGTTCCCCCGACCTGACCCCGAGGGGTCCAAGCTACAAAGCTCATTTACATCTGCATTTCTCCCTCCAGGGCAGAGGGAAAGGTATAAAAAGAGTCCCGGAGAAGCTGGGTGGACAGTCATGTCTTTAATACTGTAAAGCAATGCGATTTTATTTCCGTGTACCTTCCCAGGGTGTCTCTCTCTCTCTCTCTCTCACACACACACACACACACGTTATCAAAAAATGTCTAAAAAGGTTTTGAAATGAACCTTTACCAAAACGAGGATCAAGCCTTGGGTCTAGCCAAGAGGTGGTCTTGTTCTTATGGTTTATATAGTATATCTCTCCGTCCTGAGTCATGGCTTGTTCCCATCCATCCGGAAGAGGACCTATAAGTACAGAAAAGACAATCATGGTTGGTTTTTACGTGGTGCGACTAAAACAAGTGGGGAGGGTGCTAATTTACAAAGAAAACAGGTATTGGCAAAACTTATTAAGACAGAATGAAGCATGTGTTCAGAGAAGAAAAGAAAACCTACATACCTGATTCTTCTCCACCTCGCCAAAGAAACCACTAATTCATAAAATCTATATCTCCAGAGACACAGACAGGAAACCAGAGTCATGAAACATCCTTTCGGAAGTCATGACCCAAACAATCATCGTCACTGTTAATACACCACATTCGGTGCCACGGCTCAGGGAGCCCCCCCCCCCCAGTAATTTTGGGGATGATGCCTTCCTACGGACGTCAAGGCTCTTCAATGAGAAGGACACGCAGCGTGTTCGGCACATCTGAAGCATCACACACATTCGGTTTCATGTAAAGCACACTTCAGCTGAGTCTGCCAAGATCCATTTACTTCCACGACTTACAAGACTGGCTCTCAGCGAGAACACTACCACAGAGGAAGCTCTCCTCCAGGAAACGCTTATTTTCAGGCAAACTGAAAGCGGCGAGGAGGGAGGGTGGGCACTGGAGCGGTCAATGGAAGGAGGACACAGCCTCAAAGCTGCAGGTGTGGGAACACCACCGCGAGGCAGGACGGAAGAACACAGACAATTCGAGAGAGTGCCCAGACTTTTCCCATCTGTGGATCCACACGACCTGAGCGCCTCCGGGGGCCTGGACCCTGGCTGGAGGTGACGTGCAGCAACTCATGTAACCCGCAGGCCTGCTGGCGACCTCTGTGGTGGCCATCGCTCCACTCTAACGAGACACTGGCACACAGGGGCTCCGTGTGGTCCGATGCCACGCGGTCTGTGTCAGAGGCCACTGAGATCCGGCAGCCAGGTCCCTGAGCCACGAGGCTTCTTCTCAGCCATCGCCCACCCCAAGACCAGGCACAAAGGGTGCTGCCTACATAAAACTGGCCTGGGTTCCTGACTCCTCAACTGGCGTCCGAGCCAGCCTTCCGAGGGGCGTTGAGGAACCCTGATGGAACAAAACAGTCACAAAGGCCCACGGGACCCAAAGCCCTCATTCCAGGCCACTTCCCTTTGTTGCAGAAACTGACCAATCCGCTGCTATGCCACTGTCAAAGGCCTGCTGCGACAGGGGCACAATCTTGTCAGGACACAGACACATGCAACTGGAGGGCCCCGCACGGCTCGTGGGGCCCAGGGAAGCCCCTCCTGCCGTCCTCCTCGGGCAGCTCGGTCCACAGTGCAAACGAATTGGCCAGAAGGACCCCACATTTACTAACAGTGAGCGGGACGCAAACCCGTTTAACGCACAGAGATGGAACCGCTTTCGGTAGCGTTCGCTGTCACTAGAGATGCTTCACTTCAGGAAGACAGGACCTCCGGGACGCAGTACAAGTGCCTGGGATGACCTTACACTGGGAAGCTGCCATTTCAAGTGCCCAGCACACCACGACGACGAACCAGTCGGAACAGTCGTGGGACGGCTCTGTACACCGCCCTCTCCGAGGCTGCCGCGGCCCGGCACCGCCTCCACACCTGCCTCTTCTCCTGGTCCAGCCGCCCCCTTGGCCGCCTGAGGCAGAACCCAAAGTCATGTTCTGAGCGCAAAGCACAAGCCCGTGCTCCAGATGACACTCACGCGCTCTCTGACCCCGCCCCGTCCCAGGGCGCCTCTAGGGACTCCACCAGCATGGGTCACAGCTCCCCTTTCTTAGCCACCACCAACTGTCCTTCCCTGGCACCAGACTGCTCATCACCTCCCCTCATCCCACCATCCCCTCCCAGACAGCCACCAGGACTTTCTTCTTAAAACACCATCTCATCAACTCCTCTATGCAGATTGTTCCTTGCAAAAGCAGTTCCTTTCCTCTCGACCATCAAAAGGGAAATGCCTGCTGGGCTCATTTCTTAACCCTAACCCTAACCCTAACCCTAACCCTAACCTGATCCCACATTCCCCCAACTCAGCACAAAGGCAAGCCACCCCTTCGCATCTCCTGCTCCTCTTACACAGACGTCCCCTGACCCTAACCCTTACCAACTCATATTCGTCCTGCAAGCAGCTCACAGGTCAGCTCTTCGAGCCAGCCTTCCCCGAGTTCTCTCTCCTGCTCTGTGCCGGCAGCTATCGCGCAGGCCGCTATCACCCGTGCACACGCGTGTCCTCCTGGCGGCGCGGTCCCTCATGCTCGCATGCACGGGCCGGCAGGGCTGAGGACATGCTCAGTATGAAGGCCCTGCCAGGCAGGAGTCGGAGCTTTCTATAAATAAGCTTACAATCATGTAGTACGTACGTGATTTTCCACTAACATGTTTATGAATAACAAATGACATGTTATTAAACCCAGTGCCTTCTGTTTATTAAACTTTTTGTTCATAAACATATTCACTTTCATAGTTTTTTTTGAAATGTTAAAAGCTACGGAAACGCAGAATGGAAAAAGCGTCCATTTTTTTTGACCCGCTCCCCGGGGGAAAGCTAAACAGCTTCAGTTTTGTGCTATGTCCCGGACTCCTCTTCTGCGCCTCTGCTGCTGTAAGACACTCACACCCACCGAGGCCAGGCTCCACCGGCCCCGCACCTGCTCCCACCACCTAACAGACAACGGCATCTCTTCTTGACACGACACGTAGATCTTTTTCCTTTTAATGGCTTCATACACCTTACTGTACAGGCAGAGCTCTGAGATGTTGTGCCTTTGGCTCCAGACGACTAGAATAAAGTGACTCAAGTGAATTTTTTGGTTTCCCAGTGCACTTAAAAATTACGTTGACACTACACTGTTAAGTGTGAATTAGCATTATATCTTAAAAAAAAAATAACGTACATACCTTAATTTGAAAATGCTTCATTGCTAAATTTGCTGACACCATCTGCGCTGGCTGTGGGTCCTGCGCTCCGGGCGGGCGGGGGTCCCCCCGCAGTGCTGAGGGCGCCTCTGGGCCGGGCTGCGGGCTGCAGAAGGCCGGGCGGCCGCGGCGGGCTCCCAAGACAACCAGGCAGTGGCTGCGCGGATCCGCTCTCCCGTCAGGATCGAGTTCCTTCCTGCAGCCCCGGAGGCCGGCCGAGCGCCTTCTGCCACAGGAGAACTTCTTTCCAGACGGGGGTCCCCCCGCTCAGACCCGGCGCGGCTCCATCAGCAGAGCCGACGTGACACTGAGCCCCCTGCTGCCGTTTCAACCATCTTCGCGGCACCTTCCCCGGGAGGTTCCAGCCGGAGAAACCACCGTCTCTGCCCAGCCCCGAGCAGCACCTCCTCCTCCGAGTTTGCTCGTGAGACGGCCGCCGCCCGGCCCGTGTCCAGGCCCCGCGTCTGACTCGAGCGCCCTCGCTGTGCCCACCCCGTCTGCAGCCGCCTCCCGCCCCGAGCTCCTGACCCCTCCAAGTCTTCCTGAGGGTGGGAACCGACATTGCCACAGAGTCCTGCCCGGGCCGCCGCTCTGCTGTACATCTGATGGCTCGTGAGCCACGACGCTCTTTACCGCATCGAGAACGGAGAATCCCTTCCCCTTCCTCCGCCCAGACCCACGAGAGGAGCCACCACCCACAGCAGCTGCCGCTCTACAAAACCCATGTCCCTCGGAACTCTGGGGTGACCCGGTGCCCTGTGCACGAGCGGTAACATTTGCCACGGAACCTTCTCATGCAGCAGGAGGTCTCCCCGGCGGCCTTAAGAGACTCTGTGCACCCCGGTGTCAACAGCTGTGGCCTCAGGCGGGCTTCGCTGTCCCACTTCGAGGGCGCAGGCGGAGCTGACCGAGTGTCCTCTGTGCGGAGGCCCGCAGAATTTTGGGACCGGGCAGCTGCATGAGCCCCGATCCAGAGTCAGCCTGTGCTCTGAAGTCAGACACCGACTTCTCCTCTGCAGCTGCGGAAGTCCTAGAAGGCACCTTCTTCCCGAAGAAGGCTGTGCTGTCTATGTTGAAATGTGCTGTGATCTCGGCAGGAACTTCGGGCTCAGTTGCTGCTTCACCCACAAGTTCACGTTCCTGAAGCCTCACAAACCGACTTCCTCCAGCTCCCAACCTGTCTCCTGCAGCTTCCCACACCTCCCTCGGCCTCCACAGAACTGAACGGAGTCAGCGCCTTGCTCTGGATCAGCTTCTGGTGTACAGGAATGGGGCGACTGGTCTGACCTTCTATCCAGATGACTAAAACTTTCTCCCCATCAGCAATAAGGCTGCTTGGTTTCCTTTATTTGTGTGCTCACTGGAGTAGCACTTTTCATTTCCTTCAAGAACTTTCCTTTGCATTCACAACTGGACTGTGTGACAACAGCACTCTAGTGGCTTCATCATTTTCTAGCCTTTGACTTCAAGGGACAGACATGCGACTCTTCCCTTCACTTGAACACTTAGAGGCCACGGCAGGGCCACTGACTGGCCTACCGTCAAGACCCCATGTGTCAGGATGAAGGTTGGGGGGGGTGGCACAGGGACCAGCCGGGGCCCTGGGGCGGTCACCACACACACAGCACGTATTAAGCTCCTCACCTTACATGTGGATGGCTCATTGGCATCCCGAAACATCACAGATCACAAATTAAAGTAACTAGTGACGAAAAAGTAAGGAATATTACGAGAACTGACAAGATGTGACAGTGACACAGAGACACAACGTGAGCAAATGCTGTTGGAAAAATGGACCCAACAGGCTTGATGGGTGCAGGGTTGCCCCAAACCTTCAGTCTGTACAAAATCCAATCTCTGGGAAGCCCCACGAAGTAGAACGCATGAGAATTCAGAAATCCCTTTCCCTGTGTTAGATCTCCAAGGGGTCCCTAACTCGTGTGACTGCTCTAAGGAACAGAACAGCACACAGCCCCCACCGCCACAGCTCTGTCCACGGCCACTGCACTCTGAGGATGCGGCCACTTTCAGCCTGGCGCACCAGGCACCGTTCTCATCTGTGTCACATGGAGGATGTCATCTACCTGGGGGACAGAAAACCTGGTCAAGGTAA